GGGGGGGGGGAGGGGGGCTTTTGCTGCAGGGCCTGCGGCTTTAAAAGACGCGCAGGCCGAGCATGAAGCCCACCAAGAAGCCCGACGTGCTGGGAAGGCCCTGCGGTGCAGCGCGAGGAGGACGCGGGGTTGGCGGGCGGCAGGGCCCTCGAGGGCGTGCGAGGCTCGAGCGAGCGCGGGGCGGCTGCCGCAGCGCAACAAACGGGAGCTGGGCGCCTGCCACGGGCAGCCGCCGGCGTCGAAAACGCCGTGGCCCCCTCACAGACGCAAATACGTTGGCATGAACGTACACCGCGCCATACAAACACGGACGTTTTTTGGCCCGCCCGCCGGCCTGCAACAGCGCACGCGTATGCACGCACGCACACATTTAATCAGCCACCGTGGCCCACCTGGCTGAGCACCACCAGGCCCTTCTTGAGCCAGGCCCTGTAATCGTCAATGTCCAGCCGCCTGCGATCAGGGGCGGCCGCAACAGGCGACGGAGGCAGGTCTTAGGCAAGCAAGGGCGCGGCGCTGCGCACTGCGGCTGAGAGGGAAGAGCACAGCCCGCACGGCCCTTGGCCCCTTGGTCTGCGACCGGCGCCCCCCGCCGCAGGGGCCGCAGGCGCGAGGCACCCATAGGTGCGTTTCAATGAGGACACGCGCCCTGTGCCATGGGAGAGGGCGGCCGCAGAGTAGGGGGCAGCCGGGATGGCCCGTCCTTCAGGAAGCTGTCCCGCAGCTGCTCACCCGTCCTTGGTGGTGTCCAGCGCCTCCCTCACCCTCCTGTGAACCACCGTCCAGTTGACCGTCACAAAGCCGCTGCGGCGCGTTTGACCGCGGCGTTTGACCGTCGAGGCAGGGCGTATTGTTTTAGGCGGATAGCGAGGGCTGCGGTCTGTGCAGTGGCAAGCAGAGTGCGGAGCTGAGCGGCGGTTCAGGGGACGGGTGGAGCGCATGCAGCAGGTGGGGTGCGGAGGCAATCCCTCTCCACACCTGTATGTCAGGACCTGCAGGCTCACGAATGTGAGGCCCAGGAATGCCGCCAGGCTGCGCCCCACGGTCTGCAATGCGGCGAGGCGGTGGCGCAAAGGAGCCGGCATCGGCGCGCGTAAACGGGAGCGCAACCCCTCTCGCGCCGCGGCAGCAGTGCCCCCAGTGGCACGGCTGCCTCGGTTCGATTTTTTTGGCACGTCTCCCCCGCTCTGATTGAGGTGGCTGCACGCTTTGGCGCGGCCCCCACCTTCAGCGCCGCCGCAGACACCGCGCCGAGCGCCCCTGAGATGCCCATGTTCGACAGCACCGGCCGCCACATGGCGAGCATGCTGTCGACAAAGGCGTCGACCTCCCTGGAGCTCAGCCCCTTCTTGTCGCCCTGCCGCCGCCGCCGCTGCTGCTGCTGCTCCTGCTGCTGCTGCTGCTCGCTAAAGACGCCTTGGATGCCCAGGAGAGCCCATAAGCCTTGGGCATCACCGCCGCCGCCGCTTTGGGCTTGCTCGGCGTCCCGCGCGCGCCCACGCGCCGCAGCGGCGGCGGCCGGGAGCGCCGCGGGCGCGAGGCAGAGGGCGGCGGATGCGAGGAGAACGCGCAGGAGGCGCGCAGCGCGCGTAGAACCGCATGGCAGAGGGCCTGCGGCCGTGCGCAGGATGGGCACGCAGCCATTGATCAGGGGCAGTGCGACCACTTTTCGTGGGCAGGGTTTCGCATAACCCAGCAGCATGCGCGGCGTACACGCCATAACTGGACAGCTGCTCACCACGATCGTCGGACCAGTCGCCCCTGTCAGCTGTCCTGCGCTTCGGCGGCCTGGGGCCCCCGCCTCCGCTGCCCGCTCCCGTCGACGCCCTCGCATTGAGCGCCGACGACGCCGGTCGGCGACATCGGGCGCGGAGCGGCTGCAGAGGCTGTCCTGCTCGCGCGAGCATCGCTAATGTATCGAAGATTAAGTCATAAAACACACGAGGGAGTCGGGGCAAGGAGGACGCAGGAGGGGGCAGCAGCAGTTCACGAGGGAAACGGGCTCTTGCAAGATTCCATGCGCTGTAGGTTTCCTGTTAAACTTTGCGCAATTCATCGCTTGACGAAATTAATGGGACCACGCCACCCCCATGGTGGCTTGGGTCACCGCCGCTCACTGCACCAAGGCAACATGGCTCAAGAGCCAAGGTGCCCGCCCCAGTCTCCGTGTGTGTCGAAACGCAGGGTCCTGATAAGCAGAAGCCACACAGAGTGTTTGAGACAAGCTAATGCGTAAGCCTTTGGCGGGGTGCTGCAGTCGAGCTGAGAGAGAGTTTGGTGTTGAGGCGTTGGCCGCTTGCCCAGCTCGGTCAGGGCCTGTCGAAGTAGGCTACCACCCGCCGCGTGGGCTGTCACGAGCGAGGGAGCCGCTGCTGACCTGGCATGATTCTGAGTTTTACTGTGAACAGGGCGATAGATTTTCGAGAGGATAGCAGCAGCCGGCCCCAGGGGCATTGGCCGCGCAAGACACTTGCCAGACAGCCCGCGGCGCCCCGCCCCTCCGCCCGTATGGGGGCGGCGCCCGCGGGGCGCGGGGCGCGAAGAGCGGGACCCCGGCACGCAAAGGCGCACAGGGGGCAAAGGCGCACGGGGGGCGTTGCTTCGAGGCGGTGTTCAGCGTTGTGGTAATACAAAGGGTGGGTTTCCGGAAGAGCTCGGCACTGTTGGGGAGGGCCAGTCAACTTTGCGCGCTGCGCAGGCCGTGCGGGCCAGCGGTGGGCGGCCGGCCGCTGTGCTCCCTTCTGCAGATCGGATCAATCAAGACCACAGGCAAAATGCAAGTCCCGCAAACACACACACACACACACACGCGCACACACACACACGCGCCATGCTATTTAGCGCTCAACCCGCACCGCCCTGGCGCACCAAGCGCGGCCTGCGGAGCCACAAGTTGGAGAGCCGCCCGCCGCCTAGGACAAGCGCGGCGCCGGCGGAGGGCCGCACACGCGCAGGCGATCCCCCTCAGAGCGCGCGCGTCGACGCGCCACACGCGCGGCCCCGAGCCAGCCGCCACGTTGCGCCCCGCAGGACGGGCGCGCAAGGGGGGGGGGGGGGCGTGGCATGGCCGCCTGGTGCAATCACTGTTGGCTGGACGGCCGTTGAAGCTGAGGGTCCCGCGCCAGGCGAATCCTCGTGAGGCGCTGGCACGGGCCCCACTGTCCGCGAAAGCCTGACAAAAAAGAAGCCAAAAAGGAACAGAGCGCCGGCGCCGGCCTTTGACTGGCCCAGCACGCCGGCGCCCCGGGGGCGCCCGCGCGGCGCGGCGCCCCCCACTCTCACCTCCCGCGACCCTCCCGCCGCGCCCCTCGCGGCAGCGGCGGCGGCCGCCGCGGCCCGCGGCCTGCCGCCGCCATCCGCGGGGCGCACGCGGCACACGCACGCGGCACACCGCTCTCACGACGCCCGCCGCCGGCGCGCCCGGCGCGCCGCCGCCGCAGCAGCAGCCACGCCGTCAGTGCCCCGGCTCCATGGTGGACGTGAGCCCGTTGAGCCGCAGGTCCTCCACGTACCCCTCGGCCCTGTCCTGCGCGCAGGCCACCACGAGGGCGACGCCCTGCTCGTGCGCCTCCTGCATCACGTTCAGCGCGTCGTCCACCTGGGATGCGGGCGCGGCCGTTTGGATGGTTGGGGCTGCCGTTGGGGACACACGGGGCGCGCACGCGCTCCTAAACATGTGTGTTGCGTTGGTGTTGCCGTCGAAGCCGGCCGATCAGGGAGGATCAACAGCCCGCGCG